ATATATACAATTTCTCTATGAATTCTGCTATGTACTGAAATGTGTGAGTAGTGGTTATAGGATTCAAACTTTGTTCACATTTGTCAGGGATTTCTCTGTGATAAAGTTTTCATTTATACAATGGTTTTAGCATGAGTTCAAGATTTGTGAAGTTCTTCACATCTGTAATTTCTCTTCAACATGAATTCTATTGTGTACAGAAAATTTGACTGCTAGCATTAGGCTTTGCCATGTCTTCATACTGTTACATTATTTCTCTGGAATGATTTCTCTTATAATAAGGGCTGAAGAACAGTAGAAACCTTTGCCACATTATTCACATGTGTAAGATCTTCAATATGAATTTTGTTATATGTAATAAGGTATGAGTTCCAGTAAAGGGAATTGCCATACTGTTCACAGTTGTGGGATTTCTCACCAGTGCAAATTCTTTTATGCCCTAGAAAGTTATCAATACCAAGTAAAGGTACTATGACATTCTTTATATTTTGAGGATTTCTCTCCTGTATGATTTATGTACAGTGTGGTCTGAGTGTGAGTTAAAGGGTTTGCCACACTGTTCATATTTATAAGATTTCTCTCCAGAATGAATTCTTTTATTTACAGAAAGGTTCATATACTGATTAAAGGCTTTGCCACATTGTTATTTGTATGGTTTCTCTCTAGAATGAATATTTCATGTACAGAAACGCCTGAGTATTGGTTAAAGTCCTTGCCACATTCTTGGCATTTGTAAGGTTTGACTCAAGAAAGAATTACTTCATGTATATTTGCGTACTAGTTAAAGGGTTTGCCACAGTGTTGACATTTGTATGGTTTCTCTCCAGAATGAATTCTTTGATGTTCAGAAAGGCACAAGTACTGGTGAAACAACTTGGCACATTCTTAGCATTTCTAGGGTTTCCCTCCAGAATGAAGTTTTTTGATGTCTAGTAAGGGTTGAATTAACATGAAAGGCTTTGCATCATTATTGACATATGTAGGACTTCTCTCCACAATGAATTCTTTTATGTACAGAAAGGCCTGAGTACTGGTTAAAGACTTTGCCACATCACTGACACTTGTAGGGTTTCTCTCCAGAATGAATTCTTTTATGTGTAGTAAGGTCTGAATTATTATTAAAGGCTTTGCCACATTGTTGGCATTTATACGGTTTCTCTTCAGAATGAATTCTTTGATGTTTAGTAAGGCTAGAACTAAGAGTAAAGGCTTTGCCACATTCTTGACATTTGAAGGGTTT